TCATCAAACACAACGTCAATGCTGCGGATGAGGCGACCAGAGGGAGGGTGAAGGAAGAGGTAACCAGGCGAGTCGCGGTTGTGTCCGAGGTAGACACACTCGAGGGCCAAGGAGCGAGCTTGCCATGGGTGCGATCGGGTGGAGGAATAAGCACATATGCCTTGCAACCCCAGACACGGAGACCGGCAGCGTCAGGTTTGGTTCCTGACCAGAGCTCCGTGGGGGTAGTGGCAGTGTGTTGGGGATGGGAGTGAAGGTTGAGGAGGAGGGCAGCATGGAGGAGGGCATAGCCCCAGAGAGAGGGAGGGGTGGAGGCGTGAGCGAGGAGACAGCGGGCGATCTTGGTAATTTCGCGAATGCGGTTTTCTGCGACGCCGTTCTGCTGTGGGGAGTGGGGAAGAGTGTGGGTCTGTTGGATGCCATGGGTGGTGCAGTAGTGAGAGAGAGTGCGGTTGAGGAATTCGCCTCCCCCATCAGAGTGGAGGCGGCCCATGGTACGTTTGAAGTGGGTGCGGCATTGCTCTGCCCAGTTAATGATAATGGTCGGCGCCTGGTCTTTGGTGTGGAGGAGGAAAATGGAGGAGTAGCGGGCTGTGATCGTCAACAAGAACCAGCATGTAGCGATGGCCTTGGCGTGAGCGGGTGGGAGAGGGCCCCCAGAGGTCCATATGGACAAGGTCAATGGGTGCAGGAGCGAAGGATGGGTGGCTGTGGTGAGGAGATTGTTTGAGTTTGCCGTGGATGCAGGAGGGGCATGGGGGGCCGGGGAGGAGGGAAGGGGAGGAAGAGTGGGAGGGAGGCTGTGAAGGAGACGAGAGTTGACGGCAGTGCGGAGAGCGGCGAAATTGGGATGGCCGAGTCGGTGATGTAGGAGAACAGCGGGGTGGGAGAGATGGTCGGAGGTGGAGGGGGTTGGAACGAGTGAGGGCGGGATGGAGGAGTGTGGAGATGGCGGAGGGGAGGGGAGGAGGGAGGAGATGGGGAGGGCTGGTGGAGGTACCCGCACGAGTGGTAACATGGCAGGAGGATGGCCACGGAGTGCGGAGAGTGTAGAGGCGAGTGCGGGGGCAGAGGGGTATGCGGAGGAGGAAGCGGCCGGAGGCAGTGTGGTAAAGGTCACAGTAGGTGGCATTACCAGGATAGACGGCAGTGATACCTGCACCTTGGATTTCACGGTGGGAGAGGAGGTTGTTTCGGAGAGTGGGGATGTGGAGACCAGTTACCTTACCAGAGGGGAAGAGTGATCACGGGAGAGTGGAGAGGTGTGTGCATGGGATGGTGAAGCTGCTGTCGGCGCCATGAACTTGAGTGGGAGGAGAGAGGGGTGTGAGTGTACCAGCATCTTTGAGAGCAGTTTCAGTGGCCCCACTGTCAAGGACAAAGTCCAGAGTGGGTGAGGAGGAGGAAGACACTGAGTACTGGAAAGTGGTTTCATTAATGTTGGATGGGTACATGGAAGGAAGAGAGGGTGAGATAGCAATGTTGCCAAGAAAGCTTTCCTAAGTGAGAGGGGTGGCAGTGCTACTGGGGGGGTGTGGAGTGCCCCAAAGGGGAGCCGGTGAGGCCTGAGCGGCCATGGCTGCAGTGCCAAAGTTCAGTTGCTGCTGCTGCCAGGGAGGAGGGCTGGGTCCCCACTGGGGCTGGGGCCCTGATCCTCAGGGGTGCTGCTGCGGCTGCGGCTGCTGCTGCTGCTGCGGCTGTGGCTGAAATTGTTTGTAGCTGCTGCTGCTGCTGCTGCTGCTGCTGCTGCAGGAGGTGCTGCTGCTGGAGGTTGAGGAAGGGTGTGGGGGGAGCAAGGAGGCGGAGGTGGGCAAGGAGATAGGCGGGATTGGTTTGGATGTCGGCAGGGGAGGGGCGTGGGGAGATGTTAGCCCACTTTGGAGGAGTGCCAACGTTACCCCGCGCGTACCAGGCATCGTCGAGAGCCTTGAAGCAGGGTGCCAGGGGGATGGTTGGTTTGTCCGCAGGGTGTTCCAGCCCGGGGGCCATAGCGGCGGACATAAGTGCAGGGAGGAAGCGTGCCAGGGCGACTCCCGCGACTCGCAGAGGTTCCACCGGAATTGGTGATGCCATGCTCATCCCGGTGGTGCCACCACGGCTACTGCTGCTTCCTTGACCACCACCCCCCTTGCCCCCACCTCCCCCTTTGCCGTTGTTCTTACCCTGCTTGCGGGGCTGGGTAGTGTTAAGGGAGGAGGAGGTGGGTTGGGAGGAGGCGAGGTGACAATAGGGTGCGGAGTTTGACTACGGTATCAATGATCCACTGTTCAACGGAGGCGAGATCGGCCATGGGATTGGCTTCGGTAAAAAGCGTGGAGGCGGGATTCATAGTCTGGGGTGAGGTTAAAGAGGAGGCGGTGGATTTGAAGAGGTTCGGAGAGGCCGGCTTGGCGGGCTTCGAGGCGGTCAGCTACCTCCCGCATGCGTCCGACATAGTCGACTGCTCCGTCGCAGGTGGCGAGGGTGATGGAAAAGTACTCTTGGAAGAGGATGCCGACGGAGCTGATGTCGCGGCGCTCAAACATGGCATGGAGTTCTGCCCAGATGACCGAGGCACGGAATTCCCGGGCCTGGAAGCGGCGCATGAGGGAGTCAGGGAGAGCCCCAAGGAGAACGGTGCAGGCGCGGGAGTCAGCAGCGGTCCAGGCGATGAGTTTGGGGGTGAAATCAGCCATGGCGTCTTTGTATTTGGCGACGACGGCGAGGTGAGCGTTGCGGCCAGCAACCGCCTGGTCGTAGGCGTCAACTGCTGCATCGTACTCGGCTTTGTGAATAAGGTACGCACGACGGCGGAGGACGAAATCTGCATCAGCGGCGGCTTGGTCGGTGGTGAGCTGGAGGTCGGGTTCGAGAGGGGGATCACCAGGAGAGGGAGGGAGAGGGGGGGTCTCGCCGGGGTGGTCAGGTTCAGTGGGGGGGAGGGCATGGGGGCGGCGGAGGATGACGTCGAGGACGCGGTAGGGGGGAACCCATGCGTCGGAGAGAACGCGTCGGATGCTGCCGACGAAGGAGTGCCAGTTGATGGCGGACTTGTCCGCGGCGAGCTGTAGCTTATCGATGGAGGACGTATCAATAGGAGGAGGGAGTGGGAGGGGGAGGGTGTAGTGGTAGCCATGATGGACGGCTGCAGGTGGACCCGCAGTGGTCACGGAGGAGCGTGAGGAGCAACGGCAGAGAGGCCGCGGAGGGGAGTGGCGCGAGCAGCGGCGGCAGGCAAGGCCGCGGCGGGGCGAGCGCGGAGGTGGCGTTGGGGCCGTGGAGGGGAAGGCGCGGGCGGCAGCGGCTGGCGAGGCCGCGGCGGCTGGCGCGGCGGAGGCGGCGTCGAGCCGCGGAGAGGCGCGGGCAGCGGCTGGTGAGGCCGCGGCGGCTGGCGCGGAGGTGGAGGTGGCGTCGAGGCCGCTGGAGGGGAAGGCGCGGCGGCGGCAGCGGCTGGCGAGGCCGCGGCGGCGCTGGCGCGGAGGCGGCGTCGAGGCCGCGGGGCGGCGCGGGCGGCGGCGGTTGGCGAGACCGCGGCGAGGCGAGCGCGGAGGCGGCGACAAGGCCGTGGAGGGAAGGAGTGGCGCGGGCCGTGGCAGCTTGGGGGGCTGCGGGGCTGCGAGGGAAGGAGTGCTTGAAGAGAGGGAAGGGCGGCGAGGTAGCCGCGAGAAAAAAAAGATGAGATAGGAGGCCGGGGGTTGTGGCGGCCTTTGAGACTAGGAGAGTAGGTCCTAGGATTGAAAGCTCTATACCATGTGAGAATAATAGTTGGAAATAAAGTTGATGGTTTGATTGAGGAGAATAGGGGTTTACATAGGGAGTGGGTTGGATACTAGCCTAGGTGAGCATTATTGGACCCCAACCAAGAAGTTGGGTTGGGAGATTATTGGTGGGGTCCAATAATGTTGGCCAAGTTGGAGTTGGGCCAACATTATTGGAGGGGACCAATAATTCTACCCAACCCAACCTTTGGGGTCCAATAATTGGACCAAGGTTGGGTTTCCAACCTACAAACTGGGTTACCCCTACTTGTACACTCAAACTTAGTTTGGGTGCTTAACTCTAGCCTAACCTATAGCATGTATGCAGGTTACAAGAGAAGATATATTCTAACATGAGCATCTGCATGCATCCATGCATGCATGTCATGTCATGTCATGTGCACGCGTCACCATACAGCAGCAACAACATCAGCACACAGCACTTCCATGCCTCACCGTGCGACCTGGTAGTAGCGGTCGAAGCCCGACACCATGAGCATCTGCTTGAACAGCTGCGGGCTCTGCGGCAGTGCGTAGAACTCGCCCGCCTGGCAAGGGACGAGGGCAGGAAGGGTTTGGAAGGGGGCTGCTGAGTCGCTATTGGGGCACCTCGACTTTCGTTCTTGAGGCACATCGAAATCTGTTCTTGAGTCGCCTGGAATGGGGTGGATGGAGGGAGGAGGGACAATGGTGTGGGCTTTGTGTAAGGCGTAGAGGAGGAGAGGAAGAGAGGCGGATGAGAGGGAGGGAAGGTGGTCGAAGGCGGTGATAAAAAGTGCATGACGGTGACGAAGAGAGGCAGGGAGGCATGAGTGCCTGGAGACACACATGAGTGCCTAGAGACACACATGAGTGCCTGGAGACACACATGAGTGCCTGGAGACACACATGAGTGCCTGGAGACACACATGAGTGCCTGGAGACACACATGAGTGCCTGGAGACACACATGACTGCCTGGAGACACACATGAGTGCCTGGAGACACACATGAGTACCTGGAGACACACATGAGTGCCTGGAGACACACATGAGTGCCTGGGACACACATGAGTGCCTGGAGACACACATGAGTGCCTGGAGACACACATGAGTGCCTGGAGACACACATGAGTGCCTGGAGACACACATGAGTGCCTGGAGACACACATGAATGGCTGCAGATACACAGACATTCCCCACACTGTCCCCTCAACCAAAATTCCCCCCTTCCCCTCCTCCCCACCACCCCTCCCCCTCCTCCTCCTCATCCTGTATCACCACCTACATGCACACAACCCCTCCCTTAGACATGTGCAATGTACCGAGTCGAGTAAAACTCGACTCGGTCTGGGCCAAAACTCGACCGAGTTCGAGTTCGATTCGGGTGAAACCCGGTCGAGTTTTTTTGCCAAGGTTCTGGACTCGAAACTCGGTTGTTTAAGGGCGAGTTTTAAAAAACTCGACCGGGGCATTTCATACACTCGGTCGAAGCCTAGTTAAACTCGACTCGGGGGGAGGGGGGGGGAGGGGATACATCATGTAAAAGCTGGAAGTGAGGCTTCACCTGGTCCTCCTCTTCCACCCCTCCCGCATGATCGCCACGGTGGGTTCCTCCCACCCCCCCTTTTCCGCCCTTGGGGTTCTTACTTGAAAGCTGCTTGAACTTCGCCATGCTAAATCTGTAGGTCGACCGTTAAATTAAAAGATAGTAGTGGGTCCTCCTCCTCAAACCCTAATCGAAACCAGCCATACAATAAAATCGCGTCACTAACTATCGTGTGAACCTAGAACTACGTTGCCCCTATGACGATCGTAAGATTAAGAAGAAAAACAGCCGTGCGTTTGGCTGGTTAGGCACTGGGAATTACTGACGACTTGTTGGGGAAGGGGTCTAACTGAAATCGCGATCTGAAAATGGACCCGCCATATTTCAAATTTAGAAATTTATATGCCATGTCGCGACGAGTTTTCCGTAAACTCGTCGAGTCCAAAAAACTCGTCGAGTCTAGAAAAAACTCGCCTTGGGGGCCGAGCCTAGACCGAGTTTTTTTAAAACTCGGCGGGGTAAAACTCGACTCGGCCCGGTCGAGTTTTTTCAAAGGGTAATCACACTCGACACTCGACGTACCGAGTCCCCCGATCGAGTCGAGTCTGGAAACTCGACTCTTTGCCCATGTCTACCCTCCCTTCCCCTCCCCTCGTGTGGTTCCAGCGCCTGACGCCACCCCTGTGCCTACTCACCCTCTCGTCTACTCTCCCACACTCACATCTGCTCCCCCTTTTCCCAAACGGTCCTTTCCCCTCCCTCCGCCCCCACACCTGCACTCGTTAGCCCCACCTGCATTCCTTTTCCCCACCTGCACTTGTTCCCCCAGCATCCCCGTTCAGCCCCCCACCTGCACACGAGACGGCACGAGGTAGTCGCGGGCGCCCTCAGGCGTGGAGCGCGTGAGAATGGGCGTCTCCACCTGCAGGTGAGAGAGGGGGGGGGTTGACCCACAGGCACGCAGGCAGACACAGGCAGGCAGGCAGACACAGGCAGGCAGGCAGACACAGGCACGCAGGCAGACACAGGCAGGCAGGCAGACACAGGCACGCAGGCAGACACAGGCACGCAGGCAGACACAGGCACGCAGGCAGACACAGGCACGCAGGCAGACACAGGCACGTAGGCAGACACAGGCACGCAGGCAGACACAGGCACGCAGGCAGACACAGGCACGCAGGCAGACACAGGCACGCAGGCAGACACAGGCACGCAGGCAGACACAGGCAGGCAGGCAGACACAGGCACGCAGGGAGGGCGAGAGGGTAGGAGGGAACACTTTTGAGGCGCCTCGTGGTTGAGGTGGGGGCAAGCACACAGGCGATTCAGGGGGGGAGGCATGTATGGAGGTGAGGGGAAGGGCAGAAGCAAGAAGGTGAGGCAGGCAGGGAGGATGGGGACAGTGACGGAGGAGGGAGGAGGAGGAGAGACTTGCAGGTCGAACCAAAAGGCGCAGAGAACAGTGTGGGGGCGGGAGGATGGCAGCACTGTTAAAAAGAGTTGATCCAGATGTATGTACGTACGTATGCACCCCTCCCTCCGCTGCTCCCATCTGCGTAGTGTAGCACGGTAGCACCCATCTGGTCTGATCTGACTCTCACCTCCACGAACCCCAGGTCGTCCTCCAGGAACCGTCTGAGCGTCTTCACGATCTCGTGGCGCCGCCGCATGTTGGCCGCCATGAGCGGCCGCCGCAGGTCCAGATGGCGGTAGCTGTGGGCGTGGATGGGTGGGGGGGAGAGAGAGAGAGGGGAGACAGGGGGTGGTGGTGGGGAGGGGGCAAAGTCGACTTTCAACGCCGCAGGTCCAGATGGCGGTAGCTGGGGATGGGGGGGGGGGGAGAGGGAGGAGAGGGGAGAGGGGGTGAGAAGGCTTTTAAGCCGACTCAAATCCAGATGGGCCGCCACAGGTCCAGATGGCGGTAGGTGTGGGTGTGGCGGGAGAGAAGAGGAGGGGGGGGTGGGGGAGATAGGGGGTGGCGGGGAGAGAAGAGGAGGGGGGGTGGGGGAGATAGGGGGCGGCGGGGAGAGAAGAGGAGGGGGGGTGGGGAGATAGGGGGTGGCGGGGAGAGGAAAGAAGAGGAGGGGGGGGTGGGGGAGATAGGGGGTGGCGGGGAGAGAAGAGGAGGGGGGGGTGGGGGAGATAGGGGGCGGCGGGGAGAGAAGAGGAGGGGGGGTGGGGGAGATAGGGGCGGCGGGGGGGAGTGTGCAGGGAGCAGAGGGCGGGCAAGAGGGGGATGCTTGAGGCAACTCGGAATAACGGACATTAGGGGAGAGTGTAGGGGTGCATGTGGAGTGGAGAGCATGGGGGGGAGCATGGGGTATGCGGGGGAAGTAAAGGTGTAAACGAATACCAGCATATTCGTATTCGTATTCGGTATTCGACAAATACCAAATAAAAAACAAATACGAAATCACTGCCTATTCGACTTTTATTCGATAACTGACTATTCGACATATTCGGTATTCGCCAGCCGAATATTCGGATATTCGTATAAGTATTCGACTATTTCAATCGGTATGCTCCTAGATTTCTGAAGGCGCGTTTCTTATGTTTCACTCATATCTTCAGCAATGGAAGCACCGGCAGTGCTTACGGCCTATTAAGAACCCTGGCCCAAGGTTCTGTGAATGGTAAAAACCGTATTCGTTTTCGTATTTGACACAGATCCAGGTATTCGAACAGTATTCGTGAACCAGCTATTTGAACCGTATTCGGATTCGGTAGAAGAGGGCTATTTGGCCAAATACGAAATTGCCTACTATTCGTAAAATACTCGTATAAAAAACCGTATTCGAAACCGTATTCGTTTTTACACCTTTAGCGGGAAGCATGGGAAGCATGAGGGGAGCATGGTGGAAGCACGCGAGGAGTGCGGCGGCAGAGGGGAGAGGGACGGCGTGGGACCGCATGGGAGAAGGGGAAGTGGAATCATGTATTCTGAAGCACCTCCAGACTTGGCCGAGGTAATACTAGGCAGGTATCATGCTGCTGCACCACTCCACAGCGCAGTACCGCATTGAACCACATTGACTCACTGCAGGTGAACCTGCTCCTTATGCCGTCACAGTACTACCATACCAGGCATGCTAGCACCGCACTGCACCACGCTTCACTGCACTGCAGTGCAATGCACCAGGTGCCACCGCTCTGAACCGTGCTACTGGCATTGCCTTCAACTCACCGCAGGCGCACCTCCTCCTTAATGTTGTCAGCAGCACCCTCTGCTGACGTCAGTGAGAAGGGCAATGCCACGCGCACTGCATTCAGCACCTCCACCTCCGATGCTATCACCTGGGGTGAAAAGAGGCGGGGGGAGGGGGGGGGGACAACCAGCACAGCAGCACAGCACCGTCAGCACATGATGGCATCGCCTCAATGTCCCGTCTCGCATACAGCGGCCCTCACTTTGAACAGCCCCTGCAGTACATTGGGTAACTCTCTACGGCACGGCCACACAGACACAGGATATGACACACACACACACAGGATATGACACACACACACACAGGATATGACACAGACACACAGGATATGACACACACACACACAGGATATGACACACACACACACACAGGATATGACACACACACACAGGATATGACACACACACACACAGGATATGACACACACACACAGGATATGACACACACACACACAGAATATGACACACACACACACAGGATATGACACACACACACAGGATATGACACACACACACAGGATATGACACACACACACAGGATATGACACACACACACACAGGATATGACACACACACACATACAGCAGAACAGACACATACATACATCTGTACGGCACGTACATTGGGCATGATATGACGACCTGCGTGGGACCCACACTGGGAGGAGATGTACAAACAAGGTCCCACACAGGTCATGCAGCAGAACAGTGTCTTGTCTCGCACTGCACTGCACTGCACTGCATTGCTTTGGGCACCTCACCTCACCTCACCTCACCTCTCATGCTCTGACCTGCAGAAAGGCGCATGGCAGTCACATACAGCCACACGCCATACAGCCATCCTCCCAGTCACCATGTCTGCCAGCAACTTCTTGACCTCTTCTGTCACACGCCCGCACCACACACACACACACACACACACACACACACACACACACACACACACACACACACACAGCCACATGCGATACAATCATCCACCCGCCCGGCCCACCTCTATTTCGCCCGTGGCCATCTTCCCGTTGACCATGTCTGCTGGCCGCCTGCGCACCTCCCCTGCCACGCGCACCACATACTCCATGCGCACGCGCTGCGCCGCTGCATGCGCCTCTGGGTGATGCTCGGGGTCCGACTTGACCTGGTGAGGAGGAGAGGAGGGACGGATGAGGGAAGGGGCGAGAGGGTTGCTTTTCCTTGCCTGCCACGCGCCACCACATACTGCATGCGCACCACATACTGCATGCGCACCACATACTGCATGCGCACCACATACTGCATGCGCACCACATACTGCATGCGCACCACATACTGCATGCGCACGCGCTGCAGCGCCATGTGTGGGTCTGGGTGCAGCTCGGGGTCTGACTGACCTTATGGAGAAGCATGGGCGGAGGGAACGGGGTCCGCCATGTGTACTTTTAAGTTCCGTCCTGCACCACTATTCTACTCGGATGCTGTTCTGCTCGTGCATCCCCTCCCTCTCCCCTCCCTCTCCGTCTCCCCCACTTCCCCCACTCTCCAGCGCTCAACCTTCCCCACCCCTTCCGCGCACCTGCACGATGCCCGAGTGGTCCCGCAGGCTGATGAATATCACTCCGCCCAGCCCCCTCTGCGCGCCCACCCACCCGCACAGCTGCACGCGCGCGCCCTCGTCCGCCGCGCGCAGCTCCCCGCACAGGCGGCTCCGCATGGGCCACGACAACGGAGGGAATTCCGCCAGACTCTCCCCGGCAGATTCCGCGCCCTCTGCGTCGCTTGCGCCCGTCGGGGGTGGTTCCGCCGGAACGGGGCTGACATCGGTGTGCTGCGCCTGAGCCGCTGCGACCGGCGGAAGGCGCTTCCGCGGAACGGGGGTTAATTGTTTGGCGGAAGAAAAATGGCGGAACACGCGAGGAAGCGCGGGGATCAGGGCGGGGGTTGGCGGGTTTTGGGGTTGCGGAGCAAATGTGCGCAAGGACGCGACGGCATTGCCAGACGCGAGCGAAACGGGAAGATTGCCGGTGATTTTTCCCGCGATCTGCGCCGTGGCACGCGGAAGCAAGAGGCTAACGGCGCGCGCAGGAGCGAAGCCGCGGGGCGGCGCCATTACGGGCGCGCTGCGGATCTGTTGGCGGAGTGAAGGTAGCGAATGTGATAATAAAGAGCCAATACCGAGACTGCAGCAGGGCCGACTGGATATAGGGCGTTTGTTATGAACGGCTTGTAACATAAGTTTGATCAGGGCCACCTCACTAGTCGCCTTGGGCATAGCAGCGAGGCTGCCATGAAAGATGGAGAGGGGAGAGAAAATGAGAACACTTCTTGTGTTATGGGTGCGCGGGTTTCACAAATCCAGTGAAACGAGCAACATCACAGAATTATAATGAAGACTACTGAATGGAAGAGGCTATCTCAGGTAGAGTCGAGCTAGGTGAGGACCTCTAGGAAAACAAGGCTCGGAAAGGTGGAGGTTGCGCTGCTCGCTAAAGTACGCTTACATAACAGAAACATAATTCCTTACATTTTCATGTTTCCTGAATATCTCCCCAGTACCGGAATGGTCTGCGCATGTAAGGAAATTTCCTTTTCCTTACGCCGCATCCCTGCTTAGCGCGTACATTACTATTTTCACCACACTGTGCACCGTTACCACTCGTGACACTCGCCTCGACCATATTCCCGCCACTACACCCGTCGCAACCCGACCACACGACTCGGCTGGTAACTCGCGCTCTGGGCCTCCGCTTCGACATTCCCCGACCTCAGCCCCAACCTCAGTCACAGGCCCGCCGCGCACCTCCCACAGTTTGTTACCGTTACCACTGTGGGACTTCGCTTTATAGCTCTCGCTCATGCCTTCCCTCAATATACTGTTTTGCTTCGATAGTGCAATTCTTGCTCGCTCGCTCAATTTCACTCATAACACTTGGTATTCAGAGCCTACGATCTCTTCTCGGACTGCAACCACTATCTCAATTTTTGAAGAGGGTGGACGTCTCTCAACGAACAAGCTCCGTCGCTCGAAGTGCTCTCGTGTAAGCACGCACGGCCACGACCAAGGCTCCCGCTGAGCTCACCCGACACCCCCGCCATGGCCGAATTTAATGCCGCGACATTGACGTAGGAGCAGCTCGACCGACTCGTGCACCAACTCGAAGATTCGGCACTCGAAATCGCGACGCTCACGGCGGAACGCGACTCCGCCCGACAGCAATGAACGACGAATGCACCTGCACTAACACAGACGCCTAAAAATGCACCTGCACAAACGGATGAGCCGATTGTCATCTCGTCCGGCACACCGTCACAACACGACCGCGTGGGACAGTGCTCAGGTGCAGCAAGTGATGGCGCCGCCCAGTCGATGCCTGGCATGGCGAGAACCAGGGCCGTACCGACCGTGAATGCACCTTGCGAAGCTCGTCGTCACGTCATATTTGCGGCGTCAGCGGGCAACGACGACATTGGCGAGCCAATGCCACTTAAGCCGCAACGCCCGCCCTGCTTCGACCCAGCCAACGCAGAGGTCCGACGGTTCAATTGTGGGTCTTCACGATGAACGTCTACTTCGACGCTAATTACATCACGTCGGGCGCAACAAAGATTAGATACGCGATCTCGCTGCTACGGGGTCCCGCCATGGACTGGTGGCGAGTTATCGTAATGTCACCACGCGCCTACGAGCCGTCATCGCGAGAGGAAGAGACCATGGGGCCGGCTGTTACTTAGTGTTTGTTCTGCGAGACAGCCCAGTACAGCACGTGGGATGTGCAGGGCTTAGGCCGCGCTTCGAGTCGATCGCAGCTTCAATTTCGACGCGTCAGATTTTGCGCAGTTGGCGGCAGCTCGAGTCGGTTCAAGACTACACCAGCGGTTTTCTCGCTCTGTGCGAGCAAGTCGGCTACATGTACGAGGCGGAGCGGGTGGTCCGTTACGTCGGCGGATTGAAGCCGGACATTTCGCACGAGATTAGGCTACGTGGGCTATCGAAATTCAACGAAATTTTCGCGCTCGCCAAGAAAATCAATATTCTACGCCGTCCGAGACCGAGGTCATACTACGGACATCGTCATTGAGGACTGACCGAGCACACCACCGTACACGCCATTGCGGCGAACGCAGCTGCTGCGCCATTCAAGGGGCACTGCTTTGGTTGCAAGAGGCCGGGACATCTCTGTCGAGATAGTAAAGATAGTTAGGAGCCATAGCTAGGAGAACCCTAGCTAGGCAAGAGAAGTTTAGGCAAAGAGGGGTTGCACTAGTAAGAATGGGGATACAAATAGCAAACCCTAGAAGGGTTGTACTCGCTATAGAGCACCCCACTACAGGCTAGAGCATAATATTCTGACACACCCCCATAGCCAAAGTGGGGTGTAATCAGCAGAGCAAGCAAAACAGTACAAGCTCAGGGTGGATCACAATGTCACCACACATTCTGAGCACAAGTTCAAGAAGCAATAGTTTAAAGTTCACAATTATGAGCAAAGCTAGTGGTAGTCACAACGGGCAAGTGAGGAGGAGGAAAGAGACTATGAGAGGAGAGGAGGTAGTGGGCGGCAGCTGAAGCTGCTGGCACACGGCGCAACTGGAGCAACTGGCACACGGGCAACTGGAGCAACTGGCACACTGGCAACTGGAGCAACTGGCACACGGGCTACTGGAGTAACTGGCTCCGCGGCTGAAAGTAGCGGCAGACGAGCAACGGACCCACGGGCGACTGGAGCAACGGGCTCACGGGCGACTGGCGCAACGGGCTCACGGGCGACTGGCGCAACGGTCTCACGGGCGACTGGAGCTGCTGGCTTCACGGCGGCCACCCCCTTCAACCTCCCCAAACTATCCCACTCCCCCTGACACACACCCGCTGCTACACCGCTAGCTCCACTCCCCTTTCACCCCCCCTTAGTACCACTCCAACGGCTCCAACAAGTCCACCCCCCCTCAGCGGCAGCTGCAGCACAGGGAGACGGAGGAGGAGGAGGAACAGGGAACGGCACTCAGTGGCTTCACCCCCATACCCCTCACCCCCAAACCCTAATTCAGGAGAACGGGCTGTAGGAGGGGTGGGGCGCCAGTAGAAGCACGGGGGACAGTGGGGAGGGCAGGGGCAGCGAGGAACGGGCCGCCCACGGGCCTGGCATAGCCGCCCGAACCGCGCGCAGGCGGCCCGAGCCGCGCGCGGGCCTGGCGCTTCCCGTACGGGCCGCGCGCGGGCCTGGCGCAGCCCGTACGGGCCGCGCGCAGGCCTGGCGCAGCCCGTACGGGCCGCACGCCGGCTGTACGGGCCGCGCGCAGGCCACGACGGGCGACGGGGGGCGACGCGCGGGTCCCCGTCGCCCGTCGCAACGCCTCCCGGGGGCGACGCGTCGAGTGACGGGGCAGAAGCCCGCCGCGCGCCTCGGGGCGCACAGCGGGCAGAGAACCGCCGCGCGCCACGGGGCGCACGGCGGGCAGAAAACCGCCGCGCGCCTCGGGGCGCACGGCGGGAAGAAAAAACTGCCGCACGCCACGGGGCGTGCGGCACATAGAGTAGCAGCGGAAGTTGCAGCGGAAGCAACGAGGTGGTGAGCCCACCCACAGGATCGATCCAAAGGGATCGACCTGCTCTGATAGCATGTCAGAACTAGCTGTAGAAAGTAAGAATGAAGAAAGGAGGGTTTGCACTAGCAACAATGGTGGTACAAATAGCTAACCCTAGAAGGGGCACTGCTTTGGTTGCAAGAGGCCGGGACATCTCGCAAGAGCGAATGCCAAGAGGAGCTAAGGCACCGAGAAGTAGAGCAGGGAGAGAGCCTCAGAGGCAAGGAAACGCCAGCAGTCAGTAAAAATCGGGCCCATTACTGACAAGACTCATTGCTCGCCTGACCTCACTGACCCTCACCGAGTCACAGTAACAATTTACGCTATCAATCGGGCTCGGATGAATAAGGAGGGTACAGCGACGGATTGCCCAATACTGATCTACGGGAAAATATAGGGGGTAGCAGTGAAGATTTTTATAGACGGAGGAGCAAGTCACTGTCAAACATTATATATGTTGTGTTTGTTTAGGCTACAGTGGGTTAGCCTATAGGGGGTACACAATTCTAGGGTTAGGTACTTGTACTGATTTCACTGTTAGTTCAACCATTCCTGTCCGTTCATTCTGACATGGTTTCAGAGCAGGTCCTTTGCTAGGACCGTTTTTTTTTAAGGGCCCACCGCTACCTACCTACCTACCTACCTACCTACCGGAGCGCCCTAAGGCGCCTCGTTGTTTTTCACGGCCCCCTAAGGCCTCGCGACCCGCGACCCGCCCCTTAGCGACCCGCGCGCCGCCCCTTAAGGCCCCGTCGGCCCACGCGCCCGCCCCTTACGGCCCCGCGCTCGCCCCTTACGGCCCCGCGCTCGCCCCTTACGGCCCCGCGCTCGCCCCTTACGGCCCCGTCGGCCCCGCGCTCGCCCCTTACGGCCCCGTCGGCCCCCGCACTCGCCTCCCTAGAGGCCCCCGTCGGCCCCGCGTTCGCCCTTAGAGGCCCCTTACGGCCCCGCGCTCGCCCCTTACGGCCCCGTCGGCCCCGCGCTCGCCCCTTACGGCCCCGTCGGCCCCGCGCTCGCCTCCTTAGAGGCCCCTTACGGCCCCGCGTTCGCCCCTAGAGGCCCTGAACGGCCCGCGCTTGCCGCTAGAGACCCCGAACGGCCCGCGACCGCCACAGCCCCTTCAGGACTGAGCCGAGCCACGCGACCCGAGCCGCGCCGCCCTACCCGAACCGCGCCGCCCTACCTGAACCGAACCGCGCCGCCCGCGCACCGCACAGAGGCACCGCCGGCCCCGTTGACCCCGCGCACAGCCTCCCAGCGGCCCCGTTCCTACTGCTACTGCTGCTACTACTACTGCTGCTGTGTCAGAATGAACAGGCAGGAATGATGGACTAGCAAGGATGGTGAGTACAAATATGAAACCCTAATGTTGTGACCCCCCTATAGGCTAACCCACTACAGCCTACACAAATACAACATGTATAATGTTTGACACACCCCCATAGGCAAAGTGGGGGAGACCTAGGGGTCACAAGACCAGTCAAGGCAAAGCAAGGCAACAACAAGCTCAGGGTGGATCTCAAGGAT